TTTTTCCCCCAAACCAGATATATTTTTAATCAAAAGGAACACAGCAAACGCCAAATTCAACAGCATCCATTATGGAAGCGCTCACCATTTGGTGCTTGCTGTAAACGCAACATCAAACATCACACACGCGCACGCACGCGGCGGTGGTTCATGTGAATGTGTTTTAATGCAAATTATGATATTCATCAAATACACAAGTAAAAATTGGCGCCTGGCTATGTGTTTGCCGCTTACAAATTATGGGATCACATTTGGCCTACGATATTCTCTTCTCTTTTTTTCTGTGCAGATATAGGGTAGGTGAAAATCAGAGAGAATTATGAGGTAAAAATGTGAAATATTCAAATTAAAAAGGAACGATAAAAAAAATCCAATGAATGTTCGTTATTAATATCAATATGATGGAAATTAGTACATTGTACGTTAGCTTTTACATTGCATTTTTCCCTCTCTCCTTCTCTCTCTTTTACTTCTCTCTTTCTCTGGTCAACAGAATCAACATAAATATTTACTCTTCGTAAGTTATCTTGCCCATCAGCATTGTTTCGCTAACACCAATCGATAAATGATAAAGACTTTATCATAAAGTGAATGCGAAGTGCAACAACACTCAACTAAACAAAATTCGATTGAAACTTAGTGCAGTGGTTTGAAATAGGTCCAGCCACATAATATACACACACATACCTACCTATATGATAAATGAATTCTGCAACAGTATATGAACTGGTTCTCTATTGGATCCCATCAAATTTCATTATTGAACAGCATAAATTTCATTTGCGTTGTGCAAAATGTGGACGCATTGGCCTATGCAATTCGATTGTTTTGTGGCTTTTAAATCAATTGAATTAACATTCGGTGAATTTGGTACATGAAATTTGGTAATCGCTACAAATTGACATGATGTTCATTAGCACGAGCATTTTTGGGGCTGAGGCTTTGGCATAATAATGGAAAATTGTAATCGATGTTTTTCATGCACGAGAGAATCGGATTTCATCGGAAATGAGAATATCAAAATTAGATTATCCACTGTTCGGTTCAACCGTACATATTTTTCACATTTATAATGTGAATTTTCCATTGCCACCACCACTACCACCAGGCATCACCATCATCAACAAAACGTAACTACGGTATTTTCAATTAAAAATGCATGTGGTTATTACCGCATCGGTTTTTGGACGATTTCAACGAATGGAAATATTTAACTTTGGCTTCAAAAGAAATGCGTACAGAAATGTTGTATCGAGCTAATGTCGGGGTTGTGTGTATGGGCACAGCGGTACACACACGATCTCTCGTTCATAAATGAATAACCAGGAGAAAGAGCGAGAGTGAGAGAGAATGAACGTGTCAAATCTAATGGTGATGCTCCGGCCCCAGATGGATATACGTACAGAAAGGAAGCCATCGAGAGCAGAGAACCGTACACACATAATCATTCATAATTTATTTACATGAGAACATAAACTCATCTCATTTCATCGCATCGCAATGCGCTACATTGAAAATTACACATGAGACTGGTTTATTGCTTTTGGTTTTAGTGGAATGTATAAATGAATATGAGTATTCACGCCCGCCCGCCCGCGCGCGCACCGCATGCCTATTTCATCCTCGCTTATTTTCTGTGTCGCGCGCTATCATCACTGTTGGTACCGGAACTGACTTTACGCTGCTGACGAATAGCCGAATTAAATCGAAACATGTACAAAGGAAATTCAGTCGGCGCTTTAAGCCACTTTCACAAAAATCGAATTACATTTTTGACGTTTGATTCGCCACCGTGCACGGCCGCCACCGTGCTGAGCGTATTGCATTAAAATTCGTTTTCATCTTTGCGAGCGAAATGAGATACGCTAAATTGATGCAACCGTGTATTTGTTATTGGTATGGCAGCGTCGCAAACCAATAAAAGAGGCATATCAACGGTCGCGACTGCCACTCGCAGGGACTCAACATTCGGGCCGAAAGAATGGAAGGAATACGGGCAAATGCCTATTTTTAAATTCAACAAAATGCTACTCGAGGTGAAATCCACCGAATATTCAATCTTCATGCATGAAATGACCCGAAAGCCTTTGGCAAACGACAAAGGATTTTATGTCGGTTAATACAATTTGCGTTGAGTGGCCTGTGTATGTGTGTATGTTTTTGCTCTCGTTTTTTTTCTTAACTCAGTGCATGCACATTTTTTGTGCACCTCTCGGCATGTTTTTGCCGCTGAACATGTGTGTGTGCAGCAACGCCTGTTTTGCATACAAAATGCGCCCGGTTACCTCGATATTGCCATTTCTGAGCTGCAGCGCTTAACATGTTGATTGGGATTTGTTTCACCGTCATCATATCCGCACGAGGGACCGCATACTGCCACACCACCACCGTATTTATTAATGCTTTTGTACCATGTTAATTCGATCGGGCAATGGTTGCGCCGCGTCGATCTCCACCAAAACATGTGCCTACGGAAAATGCCACTTTCATGTTTTATTTCGGATGCAATAGTGCACAACAACACACTGCACAAACCAATTTAAAAAAGACCATCACTTTGCGCAAAAAAACGTGTAGACTGCGTTCAAAATCGAAGCAAACAATTCGCAACCGCAAATTAATCCGAATGAAATTATGACCGCAATAATAAAAACTTGAAAATTCAATTTGCTTCCGAACGAGTAGCAGTTTTAACTCACATGCCCACAGGGAGGGCCTTTTTGTTCATATCATGTGTATTTTTATGTGATGTCTACTTTAATTGAGTTATGTTTTTAACATAATAATCGGATTTTCGACGAAAGCCCGTTGCTATGGGAAGTAAATGAAAAATAGCGATTATCCCAAATCCGGATTATGACATTCGATTCACAGTCTTTCGATTTCCATAGTATCGGTCAAGCTGCTTAGCTATGATAACAAATTGGCCATTTTCGTATCCATCCAGTGGAATCGTTATAGCAATAATACTTCATAAAACGACACATTTATTCGCTTCTCTTTTTTCCGGATATTTGCATGAAACAAGTTGAAGCAATAAACGATGGTAATTCCACCTTGGACGCTTATCCGTCACATCGAATTTGAATTACA